TGCAGTTGTACTATCAGCAAAAATGTGTGCATCAGAACCGCAGCACGCAGGACTTCCTTGTTTTCTTCTGTGTCTGTGGCTCAGTCCCGCCCCCGTCCTTTCTGTCCAGTGGGAGCAATGATCGTCACCCTCGTGGCTTTGTTTACAAGTTATAGTTTGTTTGCAAAAAAGCACAATGTGAATTCAAATCGCACCAAACGAAAAAAATAAAGTCCACTTTTGGTCCGGACCAAACAAGTGGACCAAAGGACTTTCCTGGTGTGAATATCACCCTATAATTCACACAGACTCACCAAAACTGGACAATAAAAGATTAGAAAAATGTTGCCTGGTCTGATGAGTCTAGATTTCTGCTGTGACATTCAGATGGTAGGGTCAGAATTTAGTGTCAACAACCTGAAAGMATGGATCCATCCTGCCTTGTGTCATCGGTTCAGGCTGCTGGTGGTGCAATGGTGTGGGGGATATTTTCCTGACACACTTTGGGCCCATTAGTGCCAATTGAGCATCATGTCAACACCACAGCCTACCTGAGTATTGTTGCTGACCATGTCCATCCCTTTATGACCACAGTGTACCATCTTCTGATGGCTAATTCCARCAGGATCACGCTCCATGTCATAAAGCACGAATCATCTCASACTGGTTTCTTGAACACAACAYTGAGTTCACTGTACTGGAATGGCCTCCACAGTCACCAGATCTCAATCCAATAGAGCATCTTTGGGAGGTGGTGGAACAGGAGATTCTCATCATGGATGTGCAGCCGACAAATCTGCAGCAACTGTGTGATGCYATCATGTCAATATGGACCAGACTCTCTGAATGTTTCCAGTACCTTGTTGAATCTCTGCCACGAAGGATTAAAGCAGTTCTGAAGGCAAAAGGGGTCCAATCTGATACTAGCAAGATGTACTTAGTAAAGTGGCCGGTGAGTGTATGTCCGTATGAAATCACTGAAGCACCTGTTTGACATTCCTTCAAAACTCTTCCCTTAGAAACCARTCTGCAGACCTTAAAAACATGACACGTCTGTGTTGTTCTTTACCAGGATGGATGGATATGGAATTAGATTAATTGGAGATTAACTAACATAGATGGAGGAGGTCCAAGGCTGATCAGACTGAGACTCAGAGGGTTCTGAGGAAGAGGAGTTTGTTTGCGAGGTGAAGGTGTAGTTGTAAGTACTTACGTTTCAGAAGAAATTTGGGCTGTTAGTACCGTAATTTTTTAATCTCTGATAAATTTTATTTTGGTTTACATTTACAGTATTTTCTGTAATATTTACAGTATTTCATTTTTCTGACAAAAAAAATGTCACGGAATCAATAAAATCAGCACCAAAGCATTTCTGATTCTTTGCAATAAGGAACATTTGACACCCTTTGTAGAAAGATAAATGACTTGAAAGTGATATAACATGGTACAAAGACAAGCAATGGTGCACTGAGTGCTTTGGTGTCCATTATGYAGTGACTGAGTGGAAAACCTCAGACACTTGGTTGTAAGTTGTGTTGTTTGAAGGCAGCATTTGCTTTTGTTTCATATTTTAAATGTTTTGACTCAGTGAGAGCCTTTTGCAAACAAAATGTGTTCCTTTGACAATCAGTGTCACTGTTTAGGCCTGTGTGTTCACTGCTCTGAAAATGTGGACTTTGAGTTGACTACTACATCAAAGCAACCAAGAAAAACTGTGACAAATTTAAGAATTAATTTTTACCTGCTGTCATTGTCCATTTAAACACTTCTTGTTGAGTGTTGTGTGCGTTTGTTTGTTGTTTATGATTTTGGCAAGTGGGGGATAGTTTTATTAAATGTGTTAAGGGAACAGAATTGGCCATTTGGTTTAGAGAATTGGGTTTTGTGTTTTAGCAATAGAGGAAAAACTGTAGGTCAGTATCTTTAGAGCCAACCAAGTTAGAGCCATGTTTGTGTTTACTGAGGTCAGTTGGCTGTGGCAACCATCTTGAACTGAGTTGACTCTGAGAGTTTCATTGAAATCCATTCACTGGTTCATGGGAGAGTTTGCTAACAGAAGGTGCATGCAATCACAAAAGCAGTTACACAATCACAATATTTATGATCACTCAAAAATGGTAACTCAGTAAAATATACAGACCTGTGTCTAGCTGCCAAAATGCAATTTTGAAATATTTGTACATCACAAAACGTTTGACACAAATCCACATCTGCAAACTGAACCATAAAATCTTTCTTTTCCACTTCCTGTTTGTCTTGGTGCGTTAAGAAGTGTAACTCTGTTTCTCCTTGCATATTTTTCTGCTAATTGTAATCAATGTGTGCTGATTGGARAGACTTTGAGTGCTGAGCACCTGCTGAAGGTGATTAGTGGTGCTGATTTTGGCACCCATTGTTCAAAATCTCAGTATCAGCTCAAATACCAGCATTATATTGTTTACTTTTAAAAGATAGGGGAGATTTTATTTTGTGTTTGACTGTAAGTCATAAAAGCACCAGAATGATATTTGAAGAAATAAGTATTTGTGAACTAATGTTGAATGAAAGAAGTGTGATGTATCATTGAATGTATACTGTAAATCAGATTGCTACAGAAACCCATGGACATGTGGGCGCCGACGTTGCTGCTCTGTGCTCAGAAGCTGCTCTGCAGGCCATCAGAAAGAAGATGACGCTCATCGATCTGGAGGAYGAAACCATCGATGCCGACCTGCTGAACTCACTGGCTGTCACCATGGAYGACTTCCAGGTATGAGACATGCAGAACACGGAGTGAAGCTTCTTCAGTTCAATATAAATACATTCAGCACAAGAAGATGAGGTAATAAGGAGTATCTCTTCATGACGAATGTGTCTTCTTGTCGATCCCCCCCCCCTCAGTGGGCGCTGAGCCAAAGCAACCCATCAGCTCTGAGAGAGACGGTGGCAGAGGTGCCTCAGGTCAACTGGGAGGACATCGGAGGACTGAACGAGGTCAAGAGAGAACTTCAAGAGCTCGTTCAGGTGAAATAAGCATTTACCTTTTGTGACGGCCTTTCATGCTGTGATCTTCTTCTGTTGAGAAATGATGGAGTTGAYAACATTACAGTGTGCATTAGGGTTGGTATTCAAGGATTCAARGAAGTTTTATTGTCATTCGCAACACACAAACATGTAGTGGAACAAAATTCTGTACCCAAGGTCCCGGTCTATCCAAAACAAATCTAGATAATAGAGAAAAACAATAAAAATACTCAAAAGATTTCAAAATTTTTACAACTACAAAAAAAAAAAAAAAAGAAAATCAGATATAAAATGTGTGCAACAATGCCAGAAATGCAAATATATGTGTATTGAATGTGCAGTTACAGTTTGTTTTTGTTTTGATTTTGAGGTCTTGTGTTCCAGTCTGTGGTTTTGAGTTTGTCTTACAGCTTCTGGAACGAAGCTGTTTCTCAGTCTGGTGGTTTTGCACCTGATGCTCCGCAATTTCCTTCCTGCGGGAAGTGGAACAAAAACTGTGTGTGCTAGGTGAGAGCGGTCCTTCCTGATGCAGGTGGTCCTCTTCCTGCATCTGGAGGTGTAGATGTCCATGGTGGTGGGGGAACTGGTTCCAACTAATTTCTGCACGGTCTTTATCACCCTCTGCAGAGCTTTCCTCTCTGCTACAGTGCAGCTTCCGTGCTACACTATAATGCTGGTGACAGGTTTCAGATTAAGGATTCAGAACAGGCGGAGACCAAACAAGTTTAAAGGTTTTATTTTGAAAACCAGAAGTTGGCGTCTCGTCGGACTCTCGGGGATGCACGCTCTGCTTTTAGCTGGATGAAACTCCTCRAAGGTAAGAGCTGTGCAGATTTTGTTTGATGAAGTCCGTGTGAYGAGAGTGGGGTAAGGCTGAGTGCGGTAGTCCAGAACTGGGTCAAGGGTCAGAGCCGGGAGATAAGAGAGCCGAAAACAAATCCAAATCACAAACCAAGTGGTGATGTCCAGAGAGGAGAAACGGGGTCTGTAGCCGAGGGTCAGAGGTAGCAAACAATCCAGGAGAGGAACAGGCTGTGGTCGGAGGTCAAAAGACAGGCAGAAGGTCAGAAATGTGAAATCAGGCAAGGATTTGACAAGGACGCTGGATATTTACTAGGCTGAGGCTGTTCAATAATCTGGCCCTAGTCTGGAGAGAGGCAGGAGCTTAAATAGGCCAAGGAACAGGTGATCAAAATGAAGGTGATTGCTGGAACAGAGAGGCGTGGCAGGAGACAGACTGAGTGACAGGCAAAAATGTGACAGCTGGAGCATAAAATGCTCTCCAAGCACATCTGTAAAAGGAGGCGAGGATTGAGCTTCCGAGTCCAGTCCGCTGCAGCCGTCTCAGGAGGTAGAGGCGCTGATGTGCCTTCTTGATCAGGCTGGTAGTGTTGTTGCTCCAGGTGAGGTTGTTGTTCAGGTGCACCCCSAAGTACCTGTAGCTGGAGACCACTTCCACTGCTGATCCTTTGACGTGCAGGGGGTGTGGGGGTGGATGTGTCTGCCCCTTCTGAAGTCCACAATCATTTCTTTAGTTTTTCCTGCAGTGATGCAGAAGTTGTTCTTCATGCACCAACTCTCCAGATGTTCCACCTCCTGCCTGTAGCCCGATTCATCACGATTTGTGATGCATGCAATCACTATTGTGTTGTCAGCAAACTTCACAATATGACAGTGTGGATGGCTGGGAAGACAGTCTGAAGTAAGTAAGTAAGTAAGTAAGTAAGTAAGTAAGTAAGTAAGTAAGTAAGTAAGTAAGTAAG